CATCAGGAGAAACGTCATTCTGATGACAAGTTGGACATGTATGTTCATCTGACTCCAGAAGTGCTGTTTTTATACATTCATCACAACAACTGTTTCCACAACATGGTATGACAGCTGCATTAGTCATAATATCTTTGCAGATAAGACACAACAGTTCATCTGGAATGGGATCATCTTCTTCTGAAGGAGAAGGGGGTTCCTCTGGTAAGAAGGGTGATTTTCCTTTCTTTCCAATTGCATATGCTTCTGCAACTATAGTTGGTATTGCATATTTTCCAGTGTTGGTAAGCAGTGCACCTTTCATGTTAGGATCCTTCACTTCCATCATAAAACTTCTAGGAATTCCAGTGCTCTTCTTAATTCTAGGACCAGATTGAAAGTTCTTATCCCCATTTGTTGTACCACCCCGGAAACAAGTGTAAGAAGGCGGTGGTGGTGGTCCTAATGGTTTCTTCATGTAACTGACTGGGTCATATTCATGGCCAGATTGAGACATCATTGCTTTCGTGTTATTTTCTTCAGAAACATTGGCTTCGGCCAGATTGGCAGTCTTTGTAAGCTGGGCCAGAGACAAAGATGCAGAAGAGTCATCAATTGCTTTTGACGTTCCCATCACTGGTTCCGTTCGACTTATAACATATGTCTTGCTTGTCAATTTGACACCACCGATAGGAATTCTTCTCACAATCACAGATATATTCTTGGGAATTAGAGCATTATCATCAGTATATTCTTCCGTCGTCTGCGCATTGGTGATCTGCAGGTCGCAGCGGGTAGCCTTCAGCTTCTCTCTCCCCATAATCCGCTTTTTTAAGTCGCAGAGGGAGATATGGAGGCCCTCAAAGGTGACCAAGTCATAGTTGAGTTTAGAGGAAAATTTATAATACACACAGGACATGGTGCCGAAGGGGTGCTGTGATGCCCGACGGCGGTGCCCCGAAAAGAGTTCAGCCAAAGTCTGCAGTATACAACAAACGAATTTATCCTCTATGTAGAGGCTCTCCATTCCCTGCGTACCAACCCTGCACGCTCGAGGAAGTTTGAGACCCAGATCCTTCCTGCCCACCTCCTGCTTGTAAGGCTTTTCTGGTGTCATCCCTTCAGGGCGGGGTCATTGGGAAGGTGAGTGGCTGTTGATTGGCGGGCTTATCTCGCTCGCCCCCTCCCACCTGTGCTTCACGAGTTGCTTTTCAGCCAGCCCCTAACTTTGTTAGTTATTTACCTCTAGCCTGATAAGGTTCGGGGTCCCGGAGACTGACCGGCGCCTCGGAATTGACTCTGCTCCTAAAGCTAAGAACTTTTAGCGTGCCCGTGCTTACTTCTGGAGTTAATAATTCCTGTTCAAGGTTGAATCCTGGCTAGGCTTACGGTGTCAGGGGAAGGTCTCCTCCGGACTCCTGAAATGGGGACTCATCCCTTTCCTTCATTCCCCCCTTGAATTATTCTACCGGGGCAAATCTTGGGCCCAGGCAAGTTTCTGATTCCTGGCCTATAAGATCCAGCTGCTCATATTGAGTCCGCAAGACCGTATGCTGGACTGCAGATATGCGTTCTTGCATAAACCTAATTAACACATTTAGTGCACATGGTCCAAATGTGAAGATTGCTAGGAAGAGCAGAAATGGCCCGATTAAGGCTGATACTAGGGTCGTTAGCCAGGGAGATCAAGAGAACAGGGACTCATACCAATTTTAATTTTGCTCCCAAACTTGAGCTCGGTTCTCTCATTTCTGTCGGACCGCGGCTAAACTGTCCCTCACTATGCCCGAGTTATTGGCATAAAAACCACATTTTTTTCACCCCAGGCCTGGTAGAGACCCCAAAGTTGCAAAAACAAACAAAAACAAAAACCAAACCAAAAAAACCCCAACAAACAACAAGGTTCAACGCCCTTTGATGTTGTAATACGACCTCGGCTAGTGAGTCTAATGATTGCCCTAGATTATGAGTGGATTTTTCTAACTGCGCAAGGTCCGAGTCTATAAGGTTGCTTAAGACTTGGAAAGTCTGGTCTCCTTTGA